GTAATTAGGTAGTATGCTAAGAGTGGCAAAGTCCGATTGTAATGTCAATCACATCTCTAAAATCAATTTTCTTCATAAACGTTTTTTCAAATAAATCTCGCTCTTTGCAGATGATGGTTAAATGTTGTATATAAATCATTTATAAGTCAGAATAAGAAAAGACATATACGTACACAGTCTTGTAACTCAATAGAAAATGCCAATTTACAGCTAAATGAATATCAATTTATAAGTTATGTATGATGTGAGTGTAATAACGTTTCAGTTTTGTGCCAGTATTATGTTTGACTATTGTGTACATAAGAGACAGCTGTTCACGTTTCATCATACTCCAATCCGTTCTCTTTACGATGTACGTATCGCCTCTGTTGGATCCTCGGTCCTTCTGTTTTATGCTTGTAAACGGGAATTCCTGTGATTCCCACAGCTCGAAATAAAAACACGAAAGACTGATGCAATGAAAATTTATTAACAGTTTCAGTCAGTCAGTCAATAACAATGTAGAACTTCGTACGTACGTACATCAGTTCGAGTTGCCACACCACCTTAACACAGAGATGCAGTTGTCGATTCAAATCCCATTGTGGTAGAGGTAGCAAGAGTGTAAGCAATGATCGGGAAGATTAGGGTTTGGAGATGTTATTTAAAGAGTATAATTCAGTGAAATAAATTTGGAAAGAGGAAAAAAGGGACATGAAGAATTCAGAAGATTAGAATTTGGGAGAACACAAAGAGTGGATGCACCTGCGCCATTGCAAACGATTTTGAGCCATGTCATTCAGGGTCTCTAACCATCGGTTGCTATCATCTCGCGGTCCCCAACCAGGTAGTCTACACCTATCAACATGACTCAGACCACTTGTCAGTGACTTCATGGACTTTTGCCATGTTTTGGTTTGGCCGACCCTAGCTTTCATCCAACCTACTCCTATACCACTGAACATCGCACGTCGAGGCAGTCGGTCGTTGGGCATACGTAACACGTGTCCCAGCCATCTCAACTGATGAAGTTTCACTACTTCATCAATTGATTTGCCATCCTTACCTAGTACTCGTTTCCTAACAACTGCATTACTTACTCGATGGTCCCATGATATACGAGCAATGTTTCGAAGACACCTATGATCGAATACTAGTAACCTACGAATATCCTCAACTCTTACCGGCCATGTTTCACAGCCATAAAGTAGGACGGGACGAACTGCTGCGCAGTAAACCCGTCCTTTGGTTGATAGACGGATATCTCGCCTACGCCATAAATGACGCAAGTTGGTAAAAGCTAGTCGAGCCTTCTGTATCCGTGCTGAGATTTCGTCACACACCAGACCACAAGGGCTGATGAGACTTCCAAGATAAGTGAAGCGGTCGACACACTCAACTACTTCACTCCCTATCACTAGTTCGGGTGTCGATGTAACCCAATCCTGAAGCAACATTTTGCATTTCGAGGGAGAGAATCGCATCCCGAACATGCTTGCATTGTTGCTTAGAGTGGTCAGAAGACTGCATTTTGTCAGCGTCTTCACCATTAACAGTTCAGGTTTTCAATAGTAGTCTAAAAGTGTTCGATTCATGATTTCAATCAAGTTCAACAATCTCCACAATTAACAGTTTAGGATTGTGGAGATTGTTGAACTTGATTGAAATCATGAATCGAACACTTTTAGACTACTATTGAAAACCTGGAAACACTGAACGACCGTTTCGTCTTAGTATGTGACTTCTCCTTAATCAATGCACATCCACGATCTCTCACACGTGATTCGGATCCAACACTATCGGATCGAGCACCATCGGTCACACCCCGCAAAGACTGAATGATCTAGAGATTAAGTGTTCGCGCGCGAATCTGAGAGTGTTGGATTCGAATCATGAATGGAGATCGTGTATTCGCACTGATAAGGAGGAGTCACAAAGTAGAACGAGATGGTGACCCAGTGATCCGAGGTTTTCAATGATGGTCTAACATTGATTGATTGATGATTTGAATGGAGATTTCTTGACTCTGGATAAACACGTCCTTAGAAGAAGTTGTTGAATGTGACTTGATCGTTAAATGAAATACAATGATTGATGTAGTGATTCTACATATATTTGATGATGAGTTTACTGATTCATCATATGAATGGGAAGATATATGGGTCTATTGTAAAACGCATACGAAGTACACACGAAATGATGCGAAGGATACAATGAAGGGAAGTTGATGCCTGTCATATATTGTGTAAAATTGTCGATTGAATAATGAATGTGAAATATATTGATTTGAAATAATGTGACAATAGATGATGTAAACCCAATATTATTATTACTATCATTATCATAGGGGTTTTTGTGGAGAATGTAGTAATTTAATAATTGAGTGCATGAGATAATTGAATGTAGATGACCATGGAAAACCTGGAAATATTAGATGGCCGTTTCATCTTATTATTGGACTTTTCAAGAGTACACGTCCATTATTCCGCCTCACGAGATTTGAACCCAGAATCTATCAGTCTCTCACGCAAACGCTTAATGTTTAGACTACTGATCCGGTCAACATCCAACGTTGTTATTGTGTAAGTTCAACCAATCGACGAAATCGCTTCACCATCTACCATTTTGATCATTGAGTTAGTATCTCACAACAGACGTGATTGAACTCTACTATTCACTGCGTTTCACTAGAACTCCACGAAATAACTCTTGGGGATAGTCACTATTGAGCGAATCTTTCAGATTTTCCATAGTGGCCTAACTTCAATTAACTCATGAATTCAATTATTAATTTATTATTATTATTATCGTATTGATTAGAATCTCATATTGTTAATGAATTGAATATCATAAAATATGAATTCACCGTCTTATCCATCGAATTTTTAAACAAGGTGAAATAGATTATATAAACAAATCAATTGAAAGGGACTAAACCGTCACACTAGAAACAACATTTAATTGACTGATAGATTCTTATTTCCTCCTTTTTTTTATATAAAAAGAAGCGGTTATTTTATGTTCTCTACACACTTCAAAGGATAACAGATTTAGTGATAAAATATAAATATTTAAATTAATACTGGTTACATTTTTTTTGTTTGTAATTTTGATCATGTGGTATTATTAATCTCTTTATTGTTGCTATGGTTACCATCTGTATGTATATTCATATATCTTTCACTTTTCTCTTCTTTTTCTTTCTTTTTAGTTTCTGCTATCATTAAATTTTTAAAATTCATTTCATACTACTGACGTTAAATCATTTTTTTTCTTATTCATTTTTGGATAATCCATTTTGATGAACAGAAATTTTTATGTTTTTATAATCCTGTCTATGTATCTATCTGTCTGTCTATCGATCTATTTGCGTGTGTACATCGTACCTACATGTATATATCTCATTTTGAACATAATCAAATAATTATAATTTACGTAATATGGGGTTAGTAACTGTCAACATAATTGATTTTATATTCGATTATATTTAGATTCTGTCTAAATTATGTCTCAATTTCAAGTTGACGTAATTTATATATATTTGATATTGAATATAAGGTGTGAATAAGTGTCTTCAATTATTGATTAGTACGAGCACCTATTAAGAATTCTACACATGTGTAGACGTTTCTTAGATAAATAATTGATGACTTCATGAACTGATGTCGAGTTTTAGTTTTTAGCCAGTCTTAGAAAGGATTGTATGTTTGTTACCTTTTCACCTAATTCGATAAAATTTCACAACCTTATCAATTCTTAGTATATAAAGGTTAAGTGAAGACGGAGGTTGATTATGAATACAGTGGTCTTGAGTGCTGTTAGAGGTATGAAGGCGGTCATCACCTCCCGGTTGACCACACTGTGGAAGGGTTGTTCTGGAGGTACCTGAAAAGGAAATTGGATTAGAGGTGGTCTTAGTGACCTGAGAGCGTGACCGCAATGCCCAAGGGACAACTGCTTGAGGTCGGTCACACACGACTTTTTTATGGATAGTTTTTGTGTTAGCTCCGTACTTGTTGAGACCTTACCGCCGGAGACGGATATCTGTGGGATAAGGCGAAGTGTGCATTTTTAGGGTCGACCTTTTCTAACACCACCTCTCGTTGTGGGAAGACAGCATCACTGTTATGCTGGTTGTCTGAAGTAAACACTTTACTGCTGTCACACCTCTGTACAGTCGACAGTACGACTTGGTCTTCGGACCTTGGGTTTTTTGCTTTTAGTCTTACCGCTCTTCTACCGATCTGTCTGACATGGTAGGACCTTGAGAAACGGTTGTTCCTGCCAATATAGCTCGGTTGCTTCATCACGATAGGCAAGCCCAACCACCACGTCAAGGTAGCAACCACCACTTCTGAATTAACTACTTTTATGAATCCGGTGTCTATCTTGTTATGTTAATGAGGTATGGCAACTTGGACCGATGCATATATGTGCCTGGTCCTACGTTGTAACTGAATGACTGACTGTTTATTCGGTTGGACCATGGTACGGAATGAAGAGATCGGTGGTTGAATAGTTATAGTTCACGAATGTCTTTTACTTTTATAGACTGTATTTCAAATTCGGATATTAATACAGAGAAAACTACCGTTCATTATACTCCATTGTTACATGAGAGATGGTACAATGTCCTCGCTTAGTCGTTCCACTTTATTTTTTACGATCAGTATCAAAGCCATAATCGGATATACTTGCTTATCTATTGTATCTGTCTGAATTATTTATTAAGATCATGAACCAATCTAAATTAAACGATCATTGGGAACTAAAAAAAAAAACATTAAATAGCCGTTTCGTTTTAGTATTGGAACCTCTCAGCGGTGCTCATACAGAACCCTACTATATGGGATCGAATCCAGGATATTCAATCTAGTACGTGAATTCTCCACCTCTAAACCAGTGAAATGGTATCCAGTGATGTACAAGTCTATTTATAGCAGATTATAAACACATGTCTTCTAATTGTATAGACTTTTTTTTTAAAATTAACTGTTTTTAATTTACAAATTTTTAAACAGCTGTAACTGATGCACGTGTTTGGGTGTTGGAAAGAGCATGTTTTCAAGCGATTATGATGAAAACTGGTTTGGAGCGTATTGAAGAACGTAAAGCATTTCTACGAAGGTTGGTTCATTACTTATATACGTGTGTATTCTTACGAGAAAAACAGTAAATTTATATAAACATCAATGATGTTGTAATTGAGTCTCCAGTGGAATCATTATATGCATTCATGACAATGAAATAATACATTGTTAAGTTTGTTTAAAGACTTTATTAAATACCCAGAGAAGTTTGCACATTATTATTAATCTGTTATTTACATGTTTATGCGATCAACTCCCTTTAAATCCGACTCACACGTCCGCGTCGTACCTCCTGGATAATGAGACGAATGACTCATGAACTAACGTGAGCGGTAACCCCGGGTGGTGGAGATCGGGCTAATCACCCACTCTTACCTATACCCACCAATCGATTACGAATCCCACAGAGAAACAGAGAAACATTAACTATGGATTCAAACGAAACTGTATGAAATAACATTGAACATTTAAAAGTTATTCTACTGAATACTGACCTCTAAATAATTTTGATTTGATTGAAGTCTTTTCTGTGCAACTGGTTCCTTAATTGGTAGACAAGTTAGTCACCATCTGAGTTCAATAACTCAGTCAATAAGGCTTTGGTATTTCAAGTGAAATTTATTAAGTTCTAGTTTTACTGTAAATAGTAACATTGTTATACAGATACATCCACCTGAATAGTCCTAAATAGGATGAAATGAGTATCTTCGATTAAATTGTTAGGTACAATTTAAGTTTACTAAGCTAAAGATAGTTTATGTAGAGTAGATGAAATGTAGTTAGCAGTCGAATCCAGTACGCGCGTTTTGTCTTTTTTGAGACCCGACAGCTGTATGTGTCTACATCCCAAAGTTAATGTTCACTCTGGTATTTAAAGTGACAAGTTCTGGGTTCGAATCCCCAGTGAACATAAACTCCGGGCTGCAGATATATCCAGCTAACGTGTCCCAAATAGAAAGAAACTCTCATTCTGTATTCCAATGAGAGACACATTTCATCTTTTCTATATTAACTTTGTCCAGACAATCTACACAGAATACTCATTTGTCAAATAAAACTAATCAAAATTCGTTAAAAAGCTATCAATAATGGGATAATGCAAACCATTACAAATCAAATCAAATATAATGTAGTAAAGAAAAGAATTTTCCATTCCAATGATTTCATTAGGTAGAGCTATACATTTGTTTTGCAGGATCCTTTCTTTTGTTTTTTTTACACAATATTAGTCTATTGTGAAATTGATATTGATGTTGCGTGATTTATAAAGCTAACATGGGTGATAAAACACTTTCATTAAGTGAATATGCAGTTACGTAATCAGTTGTCTGATACAGTGCAATCATAATGAATCAATTGGGTGAAACTAATTTCCTAAACAAAGATAATTAGTTCACTTGAGATGAATAAGAAAAAGATGAAGAATAAACGGAGCGAAATGGTTTAGGTTTACTTAGGACTAGGTTAAGAATAAGTAAATAAAGGATCGGATATGAGTGTTTTAAACACAGGGTTTAATCAGGCTTGACTGAATTGATGACTTATCAACCCTCTAAACACTCAATCCGAGTCCGTTGTTTTGATGATTTCTACATGTTACTCATATTGATACACTGATATATGATTTAACAACCGGTACACTCCTCTCCTCTAGATTTTATGTTGACTAATTCGATGACCAATGCTTTGTCATATTTTCTCTCTGTTTATTTAAAACAACTAGTTCCTGTGATAAATTTGGTTAGTGTAATAGAAGAGGAAGATTATTAGAACCATATGATATGTTAGCATAATTGTGACTTGCAAATTAGGTTGTTTAAACACGTACATAAATGGTTGCAACGAAAAATAAAATAAAATGACCTCAATAAAGAATAAATGATAAACAACTATCGTTCTCTATTACTAAACGTATAGTTAAAACAGGCTATAAGACTAATCTTAACTCTGTTTTTGTGATTTTGTACAAAGTGTTCAAGAGTGTATACTGAGGTTTATTGAGATCTTTGACATAAGAAAATTTAAACCACGTTTGTGTGTTCAAAAACGGTTTGTTCTCATCCCTATTAATTTTGTTTTATTATCCAACGTGATTAGTTTTCTCTTACCTTCCATTCATTTAATTGACCTCATTTCTCATATATAAATGTTCTTAATAAATCTGTATATGTAATCAGATTGTTCGCAATGTATTAACAGCTAGTTCTGATAATCTTCTTCTCTACTTATTGTAAAATCATAATTTAGTACTGTTATTGGTATATCGCCTCCGTTATGTACGTATTGGCTCTGTTGGATCCTCTGTCCTTCTGTTTTATGCTTGTAAACGGGAATTCCTGTGATTCCCACAGCTCGAAATAAAAACACGAAAGACTGATGCAATGAAAATTTATTAACAGTTTAGAATTGTGGAGATTGTTGAACTTGATTGAAATCATGAATCGAACACTTTTAGACTACTATTGAAAACCTGGAACCACTAGATGACCATGGGACTTCTCCTTATCAATGCTCATACACGATCTCTCACGCATGATTCGAATCCAATACTATCGGTCACACTCGCGAACACTGAATGATCTAGAGATTAAGTGTTCATGCACGAGTCTGAGAGTGTTTTATTCGAATCATGCGTGCGAGATCGTGTATGCGCACTGATAAGGAGGAGTGACATACTAGAACGAGACGGTCACTCAGTAATCCCAGGTTTTCAATGATAGTCTAACATTGATTGATTGATGATTTGAATGGAGATTTCTTGACTCTGGATCAACACGTCCTTAGAAGAAGTTGTTGAAAGTGACTTGAACGTTAAATGAAATACATTGATTGATGTAGTGATTCTACATATATTTGATGATGAGTTTACTGATTCATCATATGAATGGGAAGATATATGGGTCTATTGTAAAACGCATACGAAGTACACACGAAATGATGCGAATGATACAATGAAGGGAAGTTGATGCCTGTCATATATTGTGCAAAATTGTCGATTGAATAATGAATGTGAAATATATTGATTTGAAATAATGTCACAATGGATGATGTGGACCTATTATTATTATTATTATTATTATTATTATTATTATTATTATTATTATTATTATTATTATTATTATTATTATTATTATTATTATTATTATTATTATTATTATTATTATTATTATTATTATTATTATTATTATTATTATTATTATTATTATTATTATTATTATTATTATTATTATTATTATTATTATTATTATTATTATTATTATTATTATTATTATTATTATTATTATTATTATTATTATTATTATTATTATTATTATTATTATTATTATTATTATTATTATTATTATTATTATTATTATTATTATTATTATTATTATTATTATTATTATTATTATTATTATTATTATTATTATTATTATTATTATTATTATTATTATTATTATTATTATTATTATTATTATTATTATTATTATTATTATTATTATTATTATTATTATTATTATTATTATTATTATTATTATTATTATTATTATTATTATTATTATTATTATTATTATTATTATTATTATTATTATTATTATTATTATTATTATTATTATTATTATTATTATTATTATTATTATTATTATTATTATTATTATTATTATTATTATTATTATTATTATTATTATTATTATTATTATTATTATTATTATTATGATTATTATTATAATTATTATAATTATTATTATTATTATTATTGTTATTATTATTATTATTATTATTATTATTATTATTATTATTATTATTATTATTATTATTATTATTATTATTATTATTATTATTATTATTATTATTATTATTATTATTATTATTATTATTATTATTATTATTATTATTATTATTATTATTATTATTATTATTATTATTATTATTATTATTATTATTATTATTATTATTATTATTATTATTATTATTATTATTATTATTATTATTATTATTATTATTATTATTATTATTATTATTATTATTATTATTATTATTATTATTATTATTATTATTATTATTATTATTATTATTATTATTATTATTATTATTATTATTATTATTATTATTATTATTATTATTATTATTATTATTATTATTATTATTATTATTATTATTATTATTATTATTATTATTATTATTATTATTATTATTATTATTATTATTATTATTATTATTATTATTATTATTATTATTATTATTATTATTATTATTATTATTATTATTATTATTATTATTATTATTATTATTATTATTATTATTATTATTATTATTATTATTATTATTATTATTATTATCGTATTGATTAGAATCTCATATTGTTAATAGAACGAATATCATAAAATGTTATTACTGAGTTAGAGAGATAATATGAATTCGCCTTCTTTCCTTGTATCAATCTGGTACACTTTTCTAACAATTCTTCACACTATGCCAAATCATCAATCTTTCAGTCGTCAAATAGTCGTTTGATTGATGACGAAACTCACTCTACATTTTAATGTTCTCTTTTATTTTTTATTAAACAGTGTACCATTACTCAAAGATTTATCACCTAATCGAATATTGCGAATCGCTGATGCATTAGAGGCTCAATATCATTCAGCTGGTGATTGTATCATAAGGCAAGGTGAACTGGCTGACAGTTTCTTTTTAATTCAATCTGGAAAGGTAAGGAAATTTATTTATGAAATCAATTATAGTGTATTAGTATGAAGTTTTGGAAATCGCTGAATTTTATTGATAATATGGAGCGATTTAAGTTGCATAACCAATAAAAGTCTATCAGTAGTGGACGGCCATTTCCCCACAGCATGGGGCTCAGCAGGAATGAAAATCCTTGACGCCGATAATAGAGGATAAAACTCAGAACATTCGGCGTCACGCCGAAACGCCTGTCGTGTTTGAAAGATGCTCATGGATTATTATTATTATTATTACGATTTCATAAATTCACTTGGGTTTGTAATAACTCTATCTTGGGTACCTTAATTCAGTTTTAGTTGGCATTTATAGGCGAGGAATATTTGAAATCTTGAGGAAACTATTACTCGTAGTGGTATTCGAACTGGCATCACCAACTGTCAGAGATGGTACTACTAAGGGAAATCCGGACCAGACTTTGTCTTCATAGCTTTGGGATTTGTGGGACTGTGCCCCATGAATCAACGTAGATGATTAATGGAGATCAAACTAACCCACCAATATATCGTAAATTCGGGATGTCATCTATGATTATATGTCCGTATATAATGTCCATTTTACAAACCAAACGTATTGGTATTTATTCACCAAATAAAACATTCATACTTGTTACATACTGCGGGGTCCATTAGTCCCAAATTTTTGAAGTTTTGATGTGCATGTAATATATGTTTAGCACAAAGGAGTGGATTCCATCCTGTCATCTCAATAGTGGTAGATCTAACATTGGGTCCCGGGGTTTTGACAGTCACTCCTCCATAAAAAAAACCACAAATCCTAGCTCGGTTATGTGCGCTTGTATGAGTTAATGAAACATTTATCTCAAAGAGCCAATGGGCTCCGTTAAAAAAAGCGTGAATAACTTTCATGACTGGAACAGGCACCATGAAACTATTCAGATATTGACTGGTATATAGAACTGAAATATTCACACACTAAATGTTCCGAATTTTGACGATAATTCTATATTCATCAAATTGTTTTAGATCTGGTCAAATGAAGTGTTGATTTCGCAGTAAATTATTCCAAGTGACTAGAAATGGCGTCCAATTTTTTCTATGTATATTTTGTGATTGGAAAGTGGAGATGTTACAGTATAATGTACTAGTTACTTCTAGTTAAATGAGGACATGGTGGAACATTTTCTAACAATAATGTTTTGATTTCCTTGACAATTTTACAGAATTTATTATTTATTCCAAAGAGGAACACCACGCCATCAACATGGAACAGTTTAAATATAGTCATGTTTTTTCCAGAAACAGAACTTTCTTCAAAAGTCTATTTGAAGTCAATGGTAAAGATAGTATGTCGAGTAGAGACAGGTATCTACCTCAGTACAATAGAAAATGGTTGCGCAATTTCGTGGATTGGTTGAGGTTAGACATTAACACCGTTGGATGCCTAGTCAGTGGTCTAGAGGTTAAGCGTTCACGCGCGAGACTGAAGGCCCTGGGTTCGAATGCCGCTCGCAGGGTCGTGGATGCGCACTACTGAGGAGTTCCACAATAGGACGGGACGGCCGTCCAGTGCTCCCAGGTTTTCAATGGTGGTTTAACATCAATCGATTCACGATCTCAATTTCCACAACCCCATATTGATATTTTAACAATCCACCAATTCAACCGTTATGTCTCTATACTAAAGCCACACGTTCATTTACTCATTCTGTTGCTTGATTAAGTCATCACGTTCTATCTTCCATATTCAATATTCTATTTTCATCAATCCCTCATTAATTTTTTCCGGATTATTAAGTAGTTATCATCGTAACATTAAGCTTTTCGTGTGTCGCGACAATGGAATGACAGTGAACCATCACTTCAAATTATCCTTGAAGTTGCATAAACAGTATCTTGGGAGATAAAAAGAGTGGAGGTTAATATGTAGTTATATTGGTTCTCAACCACACGATCCTTGAAGCCAAACATGCGATAACTGAAAAGACCTACATTAAGCATTGAAAACTTGGAGGTCATAGATGGTGAATTCAGGAGGACCTAATGGAGTAGGCATGGCTCGGCCACGCAGATATAATCACTCTGTATCTTTTTATTCTTTATGTTAAATATATTATTCTATCAGTAAACTTGCTTATATACTTCAATAGTTCTTGCCAAACAGTACCGCCATCTATCACTATAAGGCAAGCGAGGATGTACAATTATGTAACTTCAAAGCAAGATCATATTTCCTAGGTAATCACATCATGGTCACTCAAATTTATTATGCTAGGGCTATAAGTCTGGTGGCATAAATAAGTTAACCAATAATGATTTCAGACCTAAATTCCGAAAGTAAGTGATATCGTTGTAAAGGATGTTTTCCTTGCTAACCTGTCTTTAATTATCTTCTAGTATGAATTTCGTTGAATTTATAAATTTGTCGCTTATTGCTATTATGTTGTGCTACACATACATTAAGGTCCGAGTCACTATCTCCTCACCTCAAAATGGTTCAACCGAAACGAAAGAAACTGAAATTAGACAATTGACCAAAGGTGAATATTTTGGTGAAAAAGCATTACTCGGTGAGGGTCGTCGAACAGCAAATGTTTATGCTGTTGGTCCTGGTGGTGTTGAAGTATTATGTTTATATCGAAAGTAAGTTAGTTTTATACAATGAACTATTTAGTAAACAAGCAAGTACTATAAAATTCATTTATATTACTCAGCTTGGGATTTTTGTGTCTGTGTTTGTGGTATGCATCTGAGATAGGGTTTTTTTCCAATAAATAGTATAACAACGACTATACATTGTAATGCATATAGTGCTTAGGTTTTCATCACTGAGCAAAATCTCTAACTAGTTGCTAACATATTCACATGTTTTTTGTGTTAGGTATACGGACGGGGCTACACAAGTCAACTATTTGTAGACACAATTGAACAATGTGATTAATGTAGTTCTTTTTTAAAATGCTCAACTTTTTGAATAGATCTAATACTGGTAGCTCAATATTATTCCAGTTACCAATCGATGGAGGCGTGAATTTTTCCTGTTAGACCATCAGATCATTTACCTATCAGTACACGACAAATGCACATGGACGTTTTAACTCCTACATCCTAAGCAGTGCTTTTACGACGGGTTATATATTCGCGATACAAGTTAAGAGTGGAATTCAGAGTCTTGGAAGTTCTGTTTGTCTTAATACATCCAACTACTTTTATGGTAACACTTTCATAGAAAAGATGATTCAACGAACCCATTGACGCTTCTAGTAATTATCCACTATAGCTGTATATAAGACCTATAGGGTGAATTTTAAAATGTTCAGCATTTTCTCATCCCGTTTATTAAAAAACAAATGATCTACAAATGCTACACATTCGCGATTAGCATCTACAGATTCTCAGTGAAACTTCCAAAGTTTATACGTGTCTCTGCTTACTAACCAAAGCGAATTCATTGATCACTCAGGTGTATACATACACAAATCATTAGTTTCAGTCCCTTCTTTTTCCATATGACATTCAGACTTACCATGAATTGGTTGTTTATTCCTGTCATATCTTATAGGTATATGTATGTGCTTCTAGTATTTTTATTTTCACAGTTATTATCAGTCGAAATCTCCCATCTTTTTTTATAGTGTCTTTGTTTGTTTATTTTATAATATAAATGACAAAACTCTTCTTCAAACCCCACCTCTCATACATATCATAAATATTTGTATAACTTTCTCAGCATTATTTGGTTTGTAAAAACTGATGAGAAATGACATATTTACTTCAATTGTGTAATATTCCTACTGGGAGGTCGGTTACATGCCTTGACTAACTGACTGGCAGCTACGCAATGGTTCACGTAAAATAGCTATCCAGTATCTCCAAGCTTTTAATGATTATTTAAATAATATTGCTTCATGATTTAATCTGTAAGTTCAGTAAATACACTAACTGATGTCATAAAGAGTGTATTATGGAGAATTTAAGGCACAACAATCTGCCTCGACTATTCTGTCATCTGTTACTCTCAGAACCATGGTTTAGTTCTTTCAGCTTTTGGACAAAAAATTTCAAATGAAATTTACATATAATTCTATCAACTACAAACGCTTTGTTGGAATTGTTTTTACAGACGATTTTTCACCAAACCTAATCATTAGATCATCATAGAGATCAAACCTGATTTGATTCAATGGTGTTGTCTTTGCATTTGATCTTCATATCCTTCATTGAAACTCTTTATCCACTAAGAAACAGCTATTTTCCTTCAATACCATTATATTCATAAACATACCAGTGATTATTTCATAAATTTCTTGAGAGATGATTATTTTCCCTATGCTTCATCAACATTACATTGCTTATATGTGAAAATTATATTTGAAATAATCTCAACGATTGAGATTTAAATAATTCCACCGTTTCGTCCAGCTAACTTGTCTGGACTTCTTCAGGGTAATAGTCAGTCATTCAGTCAGCTACAACGAAGGACCAGGCACATATATGCATCGGTCCAGGTTGCCATACCTCATTTGCACAGCAACATGAACACCGGATTCATAGGAGTGGTTAGGTTAAAGGTGGTAATATATAGGAGAAAGATTGCATATAAGGATACAGTACCGGAATATAGAATTAGTTTGTAGAAAGAAAGATATGAAGCGATTTTAATCTCTTAGTTTAAGGGAAGACAGGGAGTGTATACACCGACGCCATTGTGACCGATTCTGAGCCATGTCACCAAGAGTCTCCAACCATTGGTTACCATTTTCAGGGTAATAATCAAACACAATATAGTTTTGGTTGTTAAAAGCTATATATTTCTTTGATGATTTTGATTTTGATTATTAACCTGAAGAAGTTCAGATAAGTTAGCTGGACGAAACGGTGGAATTATTTAAATCTCAATCGCTGAGATTATTTCAAATATAATTTTCACATATGATGACTTCTCTATACTCTGCGCCCAATTTCTGTCACACTATTCGTTCTAATCTTGACGAATATTCGTATAAATTACATTGTTTGTTTTCCTTTGTAGTAAATCAATTTTTTTCCATGTAATGTATTTTCTAACTTATTACATTTCAGAGACTTTTTGGAATTGATTGGTGATATACAAGAATTGAAAAATAAAGAATATGCTGATGAAGAAACACGATTATTAGGCCATAGGTAAGTTTATAGGAGGATATTTTTTAATAATTTAAGTTATTCAATGTTCTATTTCCTCAATTAGTTTGATTGACCATTGAGTGTAATCGAGTTTCGTCTAGTGAACTAGTATTGTGGCGGCGGCGGCTCAGCATTACATGCATTATGTTTTTATATTTTGCGGTTTAAGGTATTCGAGAGAAAACCCTACTCAACCTAGATTTCGTGCTAGTTGACACGTCTTCGAATGGGGTGTCCTTGAGGAAACTTACATATTCACAGTAGCTTTTGAATCCACGTCACGTAGCTTCACTGTCTGAGACGCTAACACTGATCTATTTCGGCTTCTTATATAAAAACTTACCATTTAGGAAGCATTTAACATTTAAACTTAAGTTGTTAGTTCTATCCATTGAAGATAGAATAAGGTTTTACATATATACTATCAGTATTATCATTAACACCATTTCTGATTACCTCAGTCGAGTTATATTAGCTGGAATAATTGTTTCTTTAGGTCCTATCACTCCATACAGGTCAATTTAAGAACGGTAAGGTTAAAACTAGCAACTTAATGCCTAAGGGAAAAGTCTTAATACCAACTGTTCAGAAGTGTGGCCTCAGTAAAGTGTTTCCTTCAGAAAACTAGCATCCTCACAAAGGAAGGATGAAATTAGATTAGGTTGGACTTAAGCAGCTATTTCATTTAGTAGTATGCACTGAAAATAATGTCATTGATTTGTATCCTGGACCTTTAGGAATTACAACCATTTGGTTGTTATCCAATGGTCCACATATCTTCCTATTATGATAGCGTTCATTCCCTATTTTTAAATAGCCCATCTAAAGTTTAACTACTCTTTCCCGTTCGTTTACTCTTGCCGAACACAAATTAAGATAAATGAAACTCAGTATCTCTCAACACTTGGAACTTATCTATTCATTCAAATCCCGAGGTGAATTCGTCCACTGATTGAAAATAATCAATTACTTCAAATCAAACAAGCCAATCATCTTCGTTTCGATTAAATAGATTTTCTCCTTCTTATATACAATTACCAATTGTTACACCAAGAGATTACAGATACACCTTACTGATGAGTATTAAAGAATACGAAGCCTAGTTGAAATACGGTTTCCTATTGGCCATCTACGTTCGAACACTTAACACTGATTTCTCCCCAACTTATTGTTCACCTATTAAGAATACCTGTGTTTAATGTGTACGTCTTTGCATGGGTGTGTGTTTATTAATTATGACAATTTTGTTTCCTGGAAATTTTATCTTTCAGTTCATTTTCACAAGAATCATCCACTGTTAGTATAAGCACAAAAGATACCGGAAAATTAGATTTAACTTCAACAAAAAGTCAAGATGAATTACATACAAAATTCGGTTTAATTAATCAACCATTACTACCGGCTAGTTTATCATTACAACCGAAAATTCAGTGTAATATACTATTGAAAGAGTTAGAACATATTTGTGTACTGGGTGTCGGTGGTTTCGGTCGAGTGGATTTAGTAAGTTCAATCCATATGTATATATGTATAATGTTATATTAATGCAGTTTTTTAATAATTGAATTTACTATAGAAAACCTGGAACCGCTGGACGGCCGTTTTTTCTTAGTATGAAACTCTTTAGCAGTGCACGTTCACGATCTCACACGCCGGACTCGAACCCGGGAACTTCGGTCTCGCGCACGAACGCCTGACCTCTAGACCACTGAGCCGGTCGGCATCCAACGGTGTTAATGTCTAACTTCAACCAGTCCACAATATTGAGCAACCACCCAGTGTTCGTGCGCGAGACCGAAGGTCCTGGGTTCGAGTCCCGTATGCGGGATCGGGGGTGCGTACTTCTGAGGGGTCCAGTACTAGGACGGAACGGCCGTTTAGTGTTCCTGGGTATTCCCACGGTGGTTTGGATTTAATCGACTCATGAACTCAACCATCTCCACTAACCCTCATTTTGATACTGTAGTTTTTGCTAGATAGTTGATAATTGATAGAAAATACTTGATTGAAATTGGTCTCATGCTGATTGGTATTTGTCATCAAGAAGAAATTTGTCTGTGATATCTGTGGATCTATCTCAGACGATGTCACAATGACAGAGATGTTACCACTAAGTTTTGTGAACTGTAACTGATTGATTTACGCCCTGAGAGTTTTATCACTTATATCATTTGTGTTGAAGTTAATGAATGCTGATCGAAGTCGGGCTGTTAAAATTATAATGCAGTCAATAATCTAAGTGATAAAACGTTGTGATACACTAAATTTTTTTCTGTTTAACTGGTGACTGGTAGAATTCATTTGTAAGTCAGCCATTTAAACATAACTTTCTTGCTTGATGACATTTATTAGTATTTCTTAATTCTCCTGAGAATTAACCAATGTTTAATTGTACAAAACACTAATGTCTGTAAACAAATTTACTGTCATTTTCTTGAATGATATTTTTTAAAGGCATATTTTTCATTACAAATCGACACAGCTTTATACATGTTAAGGTTTTCTTTTCCTTTGAGAGTCTTTTAGAATGGTACAAACTTTATCAAAACTTCATAGTAAGTTGTGAAGTTCCACATTGAAGTTATCGATGCATGTAAGGAAACCAGAGCTCAAACATAGGCTATTTACTGCTCTGAATCATGTTTTCCTATCTAATGTGTTTTTAATAATTAGATATTTATTTAAAGTCATAAACATCGGTACAAGGAGGCACCAAACAGATATACACCATATAAATCATTAGATCTGTGTGAGAGCTGGGATACTGCCTGGGTGACCAAACCGAAGCAGGTGGTTTTCTTAGGAGACCACACCCAGAGCTTTTGACCTAGAAGGTCTAATCCACAAGGTAGTGGAGCAACGCCAGGAGATTCAGTTCCATGGTAACCGGTGACCAACGACTGGTTTATAGGTCATTTGTTCCCTCAGGATTGTGGAGCTCATATACACCATTGGTTTGAGATAAGTGTTTTCCAACTCCTCTAGGTGAACTCGCCGTGTCTGCCAACCCGGTTAATGCTCCGAACTTTCGCTTTTCGTCCTGTGAAATTCGTAATCAACACCCGTGATCCGAGAAGGCAGTGGATAGGACTTCACTGGCAGTGGTTGTATACACGTGGGCATGTGAGAATTTCGAGAGAGAGAGCTGACTCTCCCCACTCTCGGCCGTACCAGGGCATTTGGGGTAGCAATTATTTCGATGTATCTATTATCCTGTTGATTTTTTAAATATCCTTAACACTTCAACTGTCATATTTATTATGACTATTAGTGTTATTTTTATTAGAGTTTAGCTAACATATTCTATGTTATTCTTTGAAAATATCAAACAATACTACTCTATTGGATGATTTATGAATAAATGTTTCGTACTTTGTTGTTGTTACGTAAGTAAGGAGTGAAACAATGACTTATTGATAGCATTAAATAAGTTTTTTTATGACAGAATTTCACAATATGCACAATTGTATTGTGAATTCAATGGTTTGAAGGTATTTTATTTTCTACGAAATTGGAATGTCTTCTATCTTATGTGAGATTTGGAGTATTGACTACTGAAAAATATGCAACTCGAACGAAATAGTTGGTTAGTTTTCCATTGTTGCCTATCTCCTTATACCACTTACAAAAATAGTGCATTTTGGATTGGAACACAGTGTGTTATGCATATAACGGTCGGTGATATTATTAACTGATTTCCTAAACTGAATTTTGATGTATCGAGGGTATGAAACTGCAAATTGCTGTTTGACAGTCGAGTTCTTTTATTGCTAAACCACTGATTGAAGTTGAAAAATACTTTCGAAATCTACATTTTGCCTGGTCTATTGATCATGCGAAAAATACAGTAACAGAGTTAGCGATTTAAAAAGCATAAATGAACTCGAAGTAGTTTGTTATGAGTCAGTTGAGTAAAGTAGAGCACATCGACCTCGCGGACGTAGTAAGCATTAGACATGTGTTTGCTGTGATACATCTCAGCAATTCACGGTTATCGTCAGTGTAATTAGATAATTATTTTGTGATGGATTGAAATCAATTGGAATTCGGAATACCCACTGTTTTTAGTTCCGATTCAATAGTCTAAGCGTGAAGTGCTGTCCTAAAGGTTCATCATCATCAGTTAGATTTCGATGTGAACTTATTGACTCATACCTGGGAAGTTGCTTGGAATGCTAGATCCACAGTACTCACTTGGTAAACGTCTTATTTTTATAATTTTATTTTGGGAATTTGCATTTTTCGTCTTCGCGTCAAAAGCACCTATTCTTACCTTCACATTATATTTCCCACTCGAAAAAACCGTAAATGTTATTGATTGATTGCTTCTTTTTGGTATATTATTTTGTGACGTTTCCCAAGGACATTTTTATGCTGTATATATACACCTCAGTTGTTTGCTTGTTGTTGTTCGTGCTTCTGGTTGCTTGTGGAATATACTTTCCTTCATCTGAACCTCGTATTCTCACTCTAGTTACCGGGACTGAATTGAGATTTGAAACAATCAATGAATTACTTAGTTTTAACCTCAGTTTCAACACTAAATCACTGAAATGCATGTACATCCAGTTAGGAGAATTAACTAGTTTCGTTTCACTCAGAACTTTTCAGATGGATGTACTTGCACTCCATTGTTGGTGTTTATCCCCAGGACTCAAACTCATTGCATTTCGCTTTAAACGCATAACGCTTTATTCAATTAACTATTGAGTTCAGATAGCTATTCACTTGTGCTGATGAATTTCAAATAGGATAAAGCGTACATCCTGGAATCATTTGCTAACCATTATTCAACTCGGCTTAAAATTCAAGCATATTGAGACCAATCCACACAGGATGTATATATGCTAAAAGAGGCTGATCAATTATACTCCTTCATAACATCAATTGCGAGAAGATGCTTGTTTGTTTTTTTTCCATATCCATTTATTACATCGACTGATGACATGAGTGTTTATATGTTTATTTTATTTTGGCATAGATTATTTTCCTTTCATTGTTTATTGTTTACATTCTTGACATTTAAAAGGGTGAATGAGTTCGTGAATGATTGTGATAGATATGTTGTAAACAAGAAGGGAAAGTGTTCAAAGTATGGAATGCATTAATTTTTTTTGCTATTAAAATCGTGATATCATTTTGTTTATCTGCCTATATATTATATATATGCTTAATATAAATTTAATAGTAATCATTTTTATCCATTGACTTGTTTTCGTTTCATAATCTCCATTCTTCCCGTTTCCCCCCCCCCACTTCTGTTTGACTTATTCACATTACAATTAATATATGAATTAGATATTTTTCTGACCATGTAAATGATATTGGAAAGAAGACTTATCTCATGTGTTTGTTTGTTTGTTTGTTTACCTAACGACTGTTTATCTTTATTTTAATCAGTGCGAGAAGAAAGTGAAATACCTCTCTCTGTCTCTCTGTATGTATGTATGTGCATCATACACATGTGTTTCTATCCAGATAAACAATGATACCCATAAAGTTTACACATCTGTTAAAAAAGTTATGTAATCAACCGATATTTTCTATTTGCTTAGAAATGTGATATTTAACTACACTGGAACCACTTATCAATGAATTGAATATTGAAATGCTAGGTGAACTATTTTCTTTTTCGACATGTTGATAAGAAGTAGAGTTGATGTAAATCACATTACAAATGTATTTCATAAACTTTAAATCTGAAATCACTGAATGTTAATTTCGTTCTAGTATATATGAGACTCTTCAATAGTGTGTATAAATGACTTTGGGGGATAAAATTCAAGAATTTCAATCTCCTAAATTTATTTGTATAGAATCATTCAACATATTGAACAATGATCTGATCAAACATAGAACTGAAGATGATAGAACATGTACGCCACAACAAACCTAAGATAAGCGTATATAGGTAAAATAATAATAATATTGATATTAGTACTTTTCTATAGTTACGTTACTAATTAAAGTAGGTTAAAAGTTGGACTTTCAATATAACTTTCATGTATTCAAATATGGAAATTATCTTAGGTGTTTGTAAAAAGAAAACAAAAATACAAGCTTTGACCATTAGATAAACAATTCACTTTTATCTATAAAACAAAAAGAAAAACACATTTTGATCTTATCTTGAACTTGTCCTTAATACATTTTACTCTTAGAACTATATATGAGGTAGGTGATGTGACAACTTTTCATTCTATCATATCTTCTTTCTATTCAATATACAATCATCATTTTATGTACTTATAAAACCTTTTATTAACCAATAATTAATTACTTTGAAATGGAAATACGTATTATGCAAATACTTATACAGTTGACTTTTTCACCTCAATCATGTCTTTCTCCTCTATTACACTATTGAAATATGTAAAATTGACTAATTAAGCAAAGATGAATAATGGTTAGCAATGGAATCCAGTTTGACGAGCGTTTCATCTTATTAGGGACTTGTCAGCTGGATATACCTTCATCTCAGAGTTGATGTTCACTCCAGGATTCGAACCCAGTACCGTTCGCTGCATTCAGGTACATCCAGATGACGAGTCCCGAATAAGACGAAATGCGCGTCAAACTGGATTCCACTGCTAGACACTATTCATCTTTCCTTAAAAAAAAATCATTATTAGTATTTAGTAGTAGTAGTAGTAGGTTTTTTTTAGAATTAGACAAACTGAACCCAAACTACACGTATATATATATATATATATATATATATATATATATATATATATATATATATATATATATATATCATATTACTGATAGAATTACTATATGTATAACACAGAAGAACAATATAACAATTCTATTTGGACGATATTTCTTACAGACTATCTGGCATATTGTTACTGTTTAAAGGTTTCAATTATATATGTACTCTAGATACTTCCGTCGTGTAGATTAGATAGGTCGAACGACTAGTAATACATAAGTGACACCTAAATAAAGTGACTATTACATATAAATATTAAGAGAGATGCGACTTTTCAAGAGTCCTTTTGCATCTCAAGGAAAGACACGTAAATAATTAAATATCACAGCCTACCTTTGTACACGATGCTTGATACTGCAAGTGTACGTTTGAAGAAAGGTATCAGGCGGGGCAGACTAAAAACATGGCATAAGTTCAAGAAATCATTTACTGTTGGACTGGACCATGTTGATTAATGTAGACGACGCGGTTGAGATTTGCGTGATACGTGTAATCAGTGATTAGAGTTGTTGAGTAACGTGGCTCAGAATTGTTCGTAATGGCACAGATGCACTCACTCTTCATCTTCCCCTTGATCTTGAATTCCACTATCCCTTCATACATACGTTTCTTTTCTGTCTTTCAATCTATATTCTCAAAGTTTAGTTTTTCTTTTTATCATTTCAATTATATCATTTCGATCTTTTCTGTTATTTTTATCTCGTCTTGCTAATATGTTATGACAACTTGGATCAATGTATATCTGTACCAGTCTCTATGCTGATGATCTCAGCATTTATCTACATCATAATATATATCCATGTCGCTCCAAAGCATTTTTGCATCATAACTGATATCAGTTCATAACGAAAACTTACCCTTACCTTAACTACCTAAATCTGATCGGTTTTTGTTAGAGATAAATAGTAATCTTTGTCCATGAGGTCGAGTTTTAACGTCATCTCTTTCGATTTACAGATAAAGGACCCCGTATAGTACATTTGTAGGACTCTTTAATTATGTAAAATTTGTTTACATTTAGTAATATTGTCTTCTTTTCCAGTAACTATCTATTAACAAAGTCTGCTTTCTGATTAACTAAAAACTGATTGACAATTGGTCACTATTATTTTAAGTTAGTCCCTGTACGATACTCTGGATAGGGATACGTGTCCGTGAATTTTTAGCGCGTCCGCACTTCAATGACCAATATGTGTGCAATATGTAACATAAGAGGATAGTTTTCATTTCAATCTCTAAATTTTATTCGTCAAGTTGGGATTCACTATACAGTAGAATGTTCAAAAAAGATAGATAGTCGTAAATAATTGAACTGAAATTCTTATTGAAAACTATACTCTTATATACAGTAGTCATCCATCAAATAAACGAAAAGATGCTCCGAAAATACTAAATATCCCGCCTTCTTTTTTTGAACATTGAAAAATGATGGTTATCATTCTATCCATGAGAATGAATATCAATATTTTATCAACTTTATTATATATATATATATATATATATATATATATATATATATATATATATATATATATATATATATATATATATATATACTTATATATACTTATTGTATAATCATCCAGTAATTAGATTATGTATATCTATATTCCTCTTATTATAAGCTTCATTTTGACCTAAAGATTATTATTATACAATTTACTGTTCTTAAGTCATGTTCAGTTTACTGATTACGGTCTCCCATGTTTATAGGCACTTTTTGGTTTTATTTTGTATAAATATTATTTCCTATTATATGGATTGTTGCGGTCTGTTTGTCTATTATATAAACGAAGTATGTTTGAAATAAATGATTCACATAGTGGAGACTGTTATTGATGTTCTGAACTCAACTGGAAGGGCTAGGAGATCAAAAGACGCTAGATTACTCATACAGGTTGAATATCATTGATTTGGCACAGTGCCAAGATTTTATAAATCATATTTTGATTAACGAATAAATCAAGTAATAATTAGATGAACTTAAAGTCACAATATACATTATCGTTATTATTATCCATTAGCCATCATTCATCATCATTAGAATATTGTAATTTTTTATAATAAATTATTATTATTATTATTATTATTATTATTATTATTATTATTTCATTTTAGGTAACATTAAAAAATGATCGAACTCAAGCATTTGCATTAAAACGATTACAAAAAGCCCATATTGTACAAACACGTCAACAAGAACATGTATATTGTGAAAAATTAATTCTTTCCTCTGTTTCATCACCGTTTATTTGTCGGTAAGTAAATTTATAAATGAATAGTTTTTTATTCATTTGGTATTGTTTTACTTGTATCTTCCCATTTTTATTTAAGACTGCAATTGATCAGTCTCATGTTGACATATGTGGATCTTATGCGAACTGCTTCGATATTGTCCGAAGTCACAAGTTTTTTTTAAACAAAGATGGATAGTGGCTAGCAATGGAATCCAGTTTGACGCGCGTCTCGTCCTATTTGGGACGTGTCAACTAGATGTACCTGGATCTCACAGTTGATGTTCACCCTGGGATTCGAATCCAATAGCGTTCACTTCAAACGCCATCGCGTTATCCAATTACCTATTGAGTCTTGATAGCCACTTGTTTGTGCAATAGGGTGAAGTTTTAATTTACTTGGTATTGTTTTACTTGTATCTTCCCATTGTTATTTAGGACTGCAATTGATCAGTCTCTTGTTGTCATATGTACATTCTGTGCGAATTGCATGAAGTCACAAGCTTTATAATTTTTATTTATTTATTCTTTTTCTGGAGCAAAAACATACATGCAATTCGAATGTATAATTTGTGTCCCAGTGGATAGGTGAACTGAAACTGTAAACACTTTTTATTGTTGATAAAATGTGAAGTCTATTAGCTGTTTTTTTTAATCTTTTTGAACTAGTCCCCTGGGTATAATCTTTGATTTCATTGTTTTTCACTGGAGTATTTTACTCCTGCAGATTGATTAGTGACTAGGACAAAGTTTCATTTCGCTTTTTGTTTGCATCCATCATTTTCTTTTACTGAGTAATAAATAACACTTAAATCCTAATTTCCTTAATGTCACAGTAAGAGAGAAGATAAGTCGGTCCTCGATAAGAGTGCTTTTCTATTCCCTGAAGAAGTCAGAATGTGGTGCAGTAAATATATTTGGTATTATTTTCGGAGGATTTGTGCAGATTGTAGAATTGTCGTAGTTTAAATCACGAACTGGCCTTACTTAGATCACTATTAAAAACCTGGAAGCATTGGACAGCCGTTTCGTCCCAGTGTAGGATTCTGTACTGGTGCTCATCCACGAACTTTCATACGAGATGTGGGTTATGTAGTATCGTGAATTAGTTGGATACCAGTTCAGTGTTTTAGAGGTTAAGGGTCCGCGTGCGAGATCGAAATTCTTGGGTTTGATTCTTTGTGATGGAGTTGCAGACGTGAACTTCTGAGAAGTCTCATTGTAGGACGAAACAATCGTCAGGTAATTCCTGGTTTTCAATGCTAATCTAACTAAAATCAATTTGTGTGGTTTGTTTTCTCATTTTCTTATTGACCATCCCATGTTTTATATTACAAGTTGATATCATACTCGTGGGAACGTGTTCTGTTTCCTTTTCGTATTTTGATCAAATGTTAGTAAGTACTAACCTTGAGACTATTTTCCTATACAGTTTTGTCCGCCTGAAATATTTTACTACATTTGTTCACATACACGATTATTTTTCTCGAATTTATGATATGAATATAGTGAATTGGTGATCAGAATATATAAGAGGTGCAGGGTATTAGGGAATGATGGTAAATCAGTTGATGAGGATGTGAATCTTCATCGACTGAGGTGGTTGGGCCACGTGTTGCGTATGTCTTAACACCGATTACCACGACGTTCAATGCTCACTAGTGTTGCGAATGGTTGGAAGAAAGTTAGGGGCGACCAAATCAATATGTGGCATCAATGCTTGAAGTCACTAACTTCTAGTCTGATCCACATTGTTAGATGCAGACTATTTAGTTGGGGTCCTTACGACTATCGTAACCAATTGTTGGAGACTGTTGGTGACATGGCTCAGAATCGATCACAACGGTGTAGGTGTATACACTCTTCGTCTTCCTTTAAATTATGAAATTAAAATCGCTTCACATCTTTCTTCCTACCAACTAATTCTTTATTCCTGTATTATGTCCTTATATGCAATCTTTCTTTTATATATTACTACTATTGAATTAACTACTTCTATGAATTTGGTGTTCATGTTGTTGTACTAATGAGATATGGTAACTTGGACCGATGTACATATGTGCACTGGTCCTACGTTCTAGCTGACTGACTGATACACATTCATTTTTTTCTTAACAAACAATATTGGCATTATTAAAAGAAGTTGGTAATTTCATGTATTCGTTAAATACACCATGTTAGTTAATCGTAATTTTAAATTGGATTGTAGTCTTATGTAATCGTGACATTGATCTACACATAAGATTGGACATAAAATCTACAGAAAAAGCAGCATAAAATATCATATTTTTATTTATAATCTAAACACATTAGATACTGTGCTGGATGATGACCATGATGATACTTGGACAATTTATAATAAAATGATTTTACATAAGTAATAAAACTACTTATCAATATAGGGTTATAGAAGTTGTTGAATTTTAATTGAGATCATGAACCGATCAATTTTAGGCCACTTTTGGATGTAGACTTAATGGTCCAGAGGTTAAGTGTTCGCGCGTGTGACCGAAGGTCCTGTGTCCGAATCCCACGTATGAGGTCGTGGATACACACCTCTAAGGAGTTCTCATAATGGAACGAAATGGCTGTCCAGTACTTTCAGGTTTTCAATCATAGCCTAACATTGATCGGTTCATGATCTCAATTGAAATTCAACAATCTCTAGAATTTAACCAATTAACTAACTGACTACAATTTATCTTTGTATTTTCACATGTGCGTGTTTTCGTCTAGATTGTTATTAAGATATCGTTGACATATAGTCACATTAAGTTAAATAAGGCAAAAAAACAGTACATTTCATAATGTTATTTATTACACATAACGATATTGTTGTTGTTGTTGTTGTTGATGATGATGATGATGATTCCATCGGCCGTGATGACTCGAAATCAATATCTAAATAAGGGGTATACTTATATTATTTCCTTCCAGTTTTCCCTCTCTATTATCTGATGTATTTCTGCTAGTATAAACAGAATTTTAATAGTTGAAATCATGAGTCGATTGAAGCTAGACCACCTGGAAGCGCTGGAAAGTCGTTTCGTCCTAGATTTAAATATTATTACAATAATATGTATCTCACAAATCTAATCGCGCGCGAGACTGGTCGGTCCTGGGTTCGAGTCTCACGAGGCGGAATCTTGGATGAGCACTGCCAAGGCGGAGTCCCACAGTAAGACGAAAAGACTGTCCAGTGTTTCCAGGTTTTCTATGGTGGTCTAGCTTCAGTTGGCTCATGATCTCAACTATTAAAATTATTATGATATCCACAAAGCCCCTTCTGATAATAAACAGAATTTATAGTCATTTAAAACTTATACTTTAGTAATTATGATAAGTATTGTATTATAAATTCGTACGTTTTGAATATCTGCTATATATTTTATCTAATAAATACACTGAGTTGGTAAGATTATACTTCAGAGACTATTAAAAAAAAACGATCAGTTGTACTTTATTTGAGTGACTAAGACTTTGATTGTCATTCTGATCTTGATGAATCGTCTTTATCAGTGGAATTTGTTGTGATTGTTCACGAGTTTCTGATCATGATAATATTCATCCTTTTTTTACTTATCAAAAATAGCCTCTCACCCTTATGTGATTGCTTATTCCTAAAATACAAAATCATCATGTGAAATAATTGAGTAACTAAAGTGGATTTCAAGGGATAGAAGAAATGAAGAAGTGACATTTGTATTGTTACCAGTGGAGATAATTAGTAAACATGAAATATTTACGTATATTTCAATCATCATATTGTGTTGATATATTTATATGATTAGCTGATCGGATTACATTCCTCTGTTTGTTTATCATTGTATTATGAGTTATTGAAGCGAGTTGTTTGAGTGTATTAAACTTATTACTAGTTAGAAAAATGATTAAGATAACTAAATATTAGAATTCACTATGACCGTTTTACATACACACGGTTTCTATACGATTATCCAACTACCGATACCATAGGGAAAAATGAAAAATGACCAGGAAGCTTTTGTTGATAATACCGACTGATTATGTACACAAATCGTTGGTATTTAGACATTTGTCCTTCTTATTCAAAGAAGTAGATGTAGGGTTAGCAAGCGTTCAGGTGGTGTAATCACCCTCTAATAACGTGCTTTGTTTGGAACGTCCATTAATAATAGAGGATATTCGTAGGTTACCAGTATTCGACCATAGGTATTTCCGAACACCTGCATTTTTGGAACATCAACTTATCATTTATCAGGTCAGATACAGAGTAATAAGTAAGGATGGGTAATCGACTGATGAGGTTGTGTATCTTTATCGACTGAGATAGTTAAGACATGAAACACATATGTCCATCCACTGGCCACCTCAACGAGCGATGATGGCATTAATTGTTGAACTGAGTCCTATAGATAGGTCCAAGATATCTGATTCTGGTCCGCGTGATTATTGTAACCAATGTAATAAGTGTACTCCTTTTTTGTCTTCCCTTAGATCCTGAGTTTCAAGACCATCTTATGCGTTTTATTTAGGAAATTCATTCAATCTTCTTGAATTATATTTCTCTATAGTTATTCTTTTTCTCAGTAACACCGTAGTGAATGAGAACACCAGTGGGGTCAACCAAATGTACCTGAACATAAAATTACAGAATCCCTTAGTAAAATCGGAGAACCATACAGTAAATAATTCATTTGCAAAATATCCATCAATTGTCTCAGATTTTGCTGTTCCTTCGTTTCCAACCAATCACTTTCTGTTCTTGTTCTCTTCTCTTCTATTTGCTCAATCTTCTTACGTCAGGCATTCCACTTTCGATCGATGATACATACTACTTATATCTATCGACATCAGTAGCACACACTACATTACTTCTGTTATTATATCTTATGTTTTATGAATTACGTCAGTTTTATCTAACGAAACGTTTCTACCTCTACTTCATAAACATTAAATGTAGATAAAAGTCGGTTACATAAATGTGTGTATTCGGTTATTGAGTTTTTTTTCTATTCTTAATTATTTGATACGATAAATATAAA